TTTTTCGTCTGTGTAGCCTCAATCTTAATATTAAAATGAATGGATGGTGTGAAATGGGCTACAGATTTGTCACAATATCTGAGATTTTAGGTTGAACCTGGTGGCTAGTGTATCAAGCACATAACAAATTTTGCATAGCCTCTGGGGCGGGGCACTGAAGTAACATCCCCTAGGATCCTGATGAGTTAACTTTGTCATGCCCATGGTTTTGGAACATAAACGAGTTCTTTAGTCAAGTATTTGTTACTAAAATATTTGGTTGATTAAATAAAGACAAATGGAGAATTTTCTTTTTGCTGACTTTTATTTCTTTGGTTGTGTAAGCTTTTATGGATTTGTACTTTTGTCAGGTTTGCTTTCTTGACATGGTGACAAGTTTAATGGAAGTACACTTAATATTTTTTTTCATATGAGTAAAATTTCCATCTGCACAATCTTCAAATATCCAAAGATGAAAAATTGGTGATTTTATCTTTTTGTTTTTGTAATTATTTTTTTCTTGAATTTTGAGTGACCAGTCCTATATGACATATCCATTAAAACTATACTGCCAGCACATAAACTTCCGAGAGGGGACTAACCAAAATCCTTGGTTTATCAAAGATATTTTTTACAAGCTAAATTAAGAAATTATGAATTCAGTGAGTAGCCTTTTGTAGTTAATCACTTTGGTATCTGGGAATTTATCAAGTTCAAGGTTTCTTTTGCTGTGACAACCTTGGAGGTCATAAATTCGTAGTATTGTCTCTGATGTGTTTTCAATGCATCAGATGAGCATTGAATTTAATCTTGCACAGACTTCAAACAGAGCTGAAGATATTGATACAGTCTTGTAGACCTGATATTGGGAATTACAAAAGAGTGGCAGTTTGTGAACGTTGGTCTGATGTCCATTAATCCTTTATGGTAGCACAGAACTGAACTCTTAGCTTCTTCTTTTGTGGACAGATGCTACCATTATGTCTTTGTACTAGAATACGTGGAATTTATTTGCGTTTTGTTTTCTCTGTAATGTTTTACTTGTTATTCTGTAAGGGTTGTCCAAGAAGGCAGAAATTAGTTACTGTTTTTTTACCTTACTCATTTTACTTATTTGACTTATAAAAAGCAGTAGTTATCCTTTTTATTGTTTATATTTACTTACCTCTTCTTTTTCAGGTTTCGCTGGTGATAAATTATGATCTTCCCAACAATCGAGAACTGTACATTCACAGAATTGGTCGTTCAGGTCGTTTCGGACGCAAGGTATATGCTTTATCATGTAATTTCCAATTTGGTTAATAACTTTCTTTGCATTTGTCTTTATTATTCGTGCAACTTGGTTATTGTTTATACATCTTAAAGAGTGAAGTTTTATCTGTCATTCGCCTACTGAAATCTAGGACATGCCACTTTATAATGCTGCTTCGTTGCAAACCCCTCTAATTATTATTCTAGGTTAACAGGCTTGTGTGACATGTCAGTTTACCTTTTCCTCTTGCAAAATAGATTCTTGATATGACGTTGCATTTCAGAGAACCATATCTATCTATTTGTACATCAGAGATCTCATGCCGTGATTAGAACATTGGAAAAACTACGGTGAAATATGGAAAATGGATTTGTAAAGAGAGATTCTTTAGCTGGTTTACGATTGAAAAGTCTGAACGGGTTGTAGCTTCTTGAGATGGATGAGTGCTTTGGAGTATTGAAATGGATTATTTATTCATATGATTTCTTTGTTTATTATGTTTCACTTTTAATGTCCAGGCTTAGATTCCTCTGTTTTTGCTTCATGAAATTAAAGAATTTCTTGTTAGAATTAATGGTTTGCAGTGAGGTGCAGAAGAAGAGTTGGTCTCTTGAAATATTTATATCAAAATTTGACTTAATATTAGTTCAATTTGGAGGGAACTTGGTGGTTTAATTTGACCTGGATTGATGTGTAATTTAGCTGTCTGCTTCTGGCTGTGGAACCCTGGTCCCAATGAATTCTGTTATAATAATGAAGCAAGGTGTGCATTGCCCTGTGCAATCACAAGCCTGCAGATTTTCTATGCTTATGTCAAGTTTTACTCTCTTTGATAGAGTATGATTTTTATATGCATTTGAAGTTACATAAGACTATGCATTGTTTTTTGATAAAATTTGCAATTGTAACCTTGTTTTATGAAAAGAAATATGTAGTGTTTTATGATTGGCCTGCTAGCCTTGTTTAGCTGAGATTGGCTTTTTTGTGGCGTTATCAGGGTGTTGCAATTAACTTTGTCAAGAGTGACGATATCAAGATTCTTCGGGATATTGAGCAATATTACAGTACACAGATTGACGAAATGCCAATGAATGTTGCGGATTTAATTTAAAGAGAATGCTGGCTTAAAGTCTACGCAAGTGGAAGATAGGGAGAGGGATGATGCATGTGTGTTAGGCTTTTGTACACTGGTGGTGGACTGCTAAATCTAAATGGTTTTGACGACAAGTAGCGAATGGGAGTGGTAAATGACTTTGCTAATGCCTGAACTATTTATGAGATTGTTCTTTCACACTGAGTTGAGAACCGTTTAGAAGTTGGGAGTAATTATATATGTTGATTATTTTGTTTTTAATTTTGGTTTCTAGTTGTGTTAAAATATTGGGAATTTGAAGCCAAAGTTGGGAGTAAATTGTATTTGTTGATAATTTTTGCTTTTAAAGTACTTGTAGTGTTAAAATATTGCAAT